TTTGCTGAATGCTGCGTAAAACAATGCTCACTCACTCCAGGTCCAGTGACTGTTAGTCTCTCTGTCACTGACTGAAGTTGCATGCGGTCTTGGAGTGCTCAAAATGGGGAAACACTTCTGGTATTCTTGCGTCATCCCCAACCGTTTAACCAGAAGCGTGTCTCATTTGACCAGGAGAGGGTTGACATTGCGTCAGCAGCATGTGTCTGTTCCCAGTCAGAGCGGCGCACTGTGTAATATCCCATCTGTGCAATGTGTGGTAAACTTACTCGACATGGGCGTTATCTAACTGGTTTTATAGGTCGTAACGCATCCGCACCTCTCAGGGGCGATACATCATCCCTGACAACTATTCACAGCTCGACCTAGATCAATCACCCATATGTATTTCAAGGCAGTAGAACGATTCTTTCAATCAATATTGAATGGCACCTTATTTTCAAATGTATTTTAATGGATAGGCGGTTTTTGTTTGTTTGTAGAAACTTAATGTGAAGAAATGACTGAATATAGCTTACGGGAGTACAATTTCCAGTTATTGATTAAGTACAACATTCGTGTACCAAACGTTGCTAGGTGTGGTTTAACGTTGTTGTATATATACACGCAACAGACCATGGCAGTTCGTCAAAGTCTGGCTCATGTTTCAACTGTCACTAAATTGACAACTGAACTCATAAATCTCATCAGCAATTGTTTCGAGTACACTTTTTAATATACGATCTATAAGATGTACAGACATGACGTCCACAGTTGGTTTAGTCCCTGTCGAAAAGAGAGTGAACGAGAGAGAGAGAGAGTGAGAGAGAATAGAGTGAGAGAGAGAGAAAAGAGTGAGAGAGTTAGAGAGAAGAGAGAGTGTGAGTTAGAGAGAAGAGAGTGAGAGAGAAGTGAGAGAGAGAGAGAAGAGAGAGTGAGAGTTAAAGAGAAGAGAGAGAGTTAGAGAGAGAAGAGAGTGAGAGAGAGAGAGATGCATTGCTTTCTCCCTTGACTTTGAGAAATCGTTTTATCAAATTCCCAAAATGGCGATCCGTTAGAACCGTTGTACCGAACGTTTCGCCTTATACCCCATGTCTTCCATCCTGGCGGTACCTTCGACCACGGATAGCGGCAGACCTCGGACCAAATCCTCAAATCCATAAGACTCTTACAGTTGTGTACTTTTTCAGCGACGGGTGTCCATTGTAGACTACTCAAACAAATGAGATTATAGTAAGCTGTTTAAATCTCATATTTATCCAGGAAACTGTTTTTACGAATGTTGGTGTGAGGAGACGGAGAAGATCTTTCGCGCAGATTAGATACGACCAGATTAATAACTGACGTTGTCAGACGCAGAAATATATGTACTCAGTGTTCTTTGGGTTTGGTTGCACGCTTTTAACAAGATAACAGGTTTAAAGAATATTTTGTTTTGAAATATGATCAAAATGAATGGTATGTTGGCAGTGATAAAAGATGAAAAGGCATTTCTTTTTGAGAATACTCACATATCAATAGTTTGTGTTAACTAGGAATTAAAGACTTTATTTGATAGTGCTCAGTAAATGAATAGTTTGTTGGATGCTTCTGAAAGTTATATGGATCCGAAGTTATATGATTTTATTCACCTTATCATCTCCACACATCTATCTACTCACAGCAACGATTTAACACCAATGCCCTAAACGCCCTTAGGGGTCGGTGGGGTACCCTAGTGGTCAAAGCGTTCGCTCGTCACGCCATTGGCCCGGCTTCGATTCCCCACATGTGTACAATATGTGAAGCCCATTTCTGGTGTCCCCCGCCATGATATTGCTGGTATATTGCTAACAGCGGCGTAAAAACTCCCTCCCTCCCTCACGCACTCTTTAAGCACCCGTGAAGATCTGGATTAGAACTGGTCTTCAGTAACCCATGCTTACCCAAGAGGCGACTAACGGTTTCCCCCCACATAGGTACAATGTGTGAAGCCCATGTGTGGTGGTCTATTACTAGAAGCGGCGTAAAATCCCACTCCCTCACTTACGGATTATATTTACATATGAACATACATCTGGCCCCGATTTCTCGAAACAAACTTAAGTCTGAGTTTTGACTTAAGTCTGAGTTTTTACTCAAATTTGAGAAAACGCAGGAAAATGCATTTCCCAGAATAAACTGAAATCAATATTGAACTCAAACTTAGCAGACAATTTGAGTTTGGTGGATAGATTACTTAAGTTGTTTGGGCTTTTTTTAGTTAAAAAATGCAGTTGAGTTAAAAATTCAGCTGTTTCAAATTGTCAAACTCAGTTTGAAATTTGAGTAAAAACTTAAGTTTGTTTCGAGAAATCGGGGCCTGTACTATCGGAATACGTTCAAGGCTTCACACAAAACTGGCACTCAACATTCAAAATCAGAACCCCTTCTTTGACTGTAACTGACTTCAGCATTGTGCTCTTAATGCTGCTGTATTCGTGGTGACTTGCGTGTACCTTCAGTGTTAACTTAGCGGATCAACACTGTTAGCCGGGAGTCAAGGCGTTACATGAACATCTTACCGCAAACCGGTTGTGGCGGGATTGTCGCGTGTGTGATAACACTTCATTATACTCCAATCGGACATAATCGGGTTAAGGTATTTTGTAAGATCTGTATTATGCATCCCTTATTGCAACATTTACCTGTGGCAGCAATATGTTTGTAATCTTGTAACGCTAACAACCGAAGCTGTGCTCAGTAGGTTCAGTAAATTCAGTTGTCAGAGTTGTCATTGAACGAGCAACACGCGTGAGTACTGCCTTTCTTAGACATGATTGAAGCAGAATTGTTAATAACTACGGATTATTGTACCAGCGGAAAGTAACTTTGCTTCAAACACGCAGTGATACCTGGCTGATGACTATAAGGCTGACGAGGGACTGGGGAGAAGTGAAGATGGTTCACATCTCAATCAAAACCGTAACAAGCGTAAGAAGCCAACGTCAACCCATACAAACCCACGTTGTTTGGGTATTTGTAGGGAACAGGGTGAGGGCTAATATGTAATATGGTAGAAACGCACCAGCCACTTTGTTAAGATTAATATAGAAGTATTGAACCAGGCAATTAAGATGATAAAAGTTTATACCCATGTTTGATTGCAGTCATTCTCCTAGTTTGTCTGGAAGACTTACTTATGCGTTTATATATTTCTGACGTGTTCTGTATATTGTCTTGTTTCCATTCAACGTAATGTATGCTTATCCCAAAGTCATTCTTATAGTAATCTTGTCCTTGCGTTTATTTAACATTTTTGTAATTATTTTTTCACATAAGCTGGTTAACGCTTAAACTATATGCATTGCATATATACACGTATGTGCAAAAAAGGTGGACATGTATGGATATCAAATACTGTATGATGAAGAATACGACATTTCGGGGGGTATATTCTTACTCTTTTATCAGGTAAATGTTACAGAAACTGACATCCATACATTTTCCCGTTACTATTAATGCCATTGACATTTTTAATTATTTGCGTTATTCCGTAGATTAATCTGTGATTTGTAGATGTACCGCTTCTGACTGTGTGGTGTATGCATATGATACGTATGATGTATGCATATGATACGTATGATGTATGCATATGATACGTATGATGTATGCATATGCTACGTATGATGTATGCATATGATACGTATGATGTATGCATATGATACGTATGATGTATGCATATGATACGTATGATGTATGCATATGATACGTATGATGTATGCATGTTTTTCAGGGATTTTGTACTGTATAATCATGTTCATGACACGTATAGTGTATACACGTGTGTGTACAGCATGCTGTGCATGGTATATGTATGCATATACGTATTTGTGTATCATATATATCTGCCGGGCAGGAGAAAGTATCTCAGTCTGACGTGAGGTACCGAGAGGGACAGTTTATAAATAGAATACGCATAACTGTAATAGCTGTAAAGTCTCGGTAGATTTCACACATCGTTACGAAACTGATGATAGATATCTGTGCTGTTGCAGATATCAGAATATATATTGAGAAAACTAAATCTCTGACTAAACGGAGCTTAAAAATCTAATAGAATCAGTTGCTGTTCGCGAATAAATTATGAATCATGATATTCACTTTCGCAGTGAACATTGAGTTCATACACCGCTCCAAGTCAATCAAACTCAAATGGCCATTAGCGTCACACCCTACTGGGGTTTGATATGAACGTAAATGTCAAGATCACAACATGTTTTTGTCGGAAAGACAGGAAGGCGATATCGTAAATATGATTATGAGTTATTAGGGATATAAGTTTGCGTAGCTCGAGGCGATATGTCCTAAATATGTTGATTGATGATAAGAAAAAAGAAGTAAAAGTCGAGACAAACCAATGATCAAACCACCTGAACAATTTAAAAGTCACATTTACCCGATGACAGTGAAATCTGTCGCCAGGGAGAAAAGCAATGGAGCGAACACATCGCCCTGCAGCGACCCTTGCAGCAACGCAATTTACTAGGCCAGATGTACCATTACGCTACTTTACTTACTGTGATTACGAACTCGATGGAGCATAGCCAATGGAAAAGGCCCTGCAAGGGTGAACAAATGGAGTGGCAATTTCTATAATGATATATACCACATTAAGCGAGATATATACTACACACGGATCGATGATAATGGTTGATATTAAGTATATAGCTGTTGTTACTACGTATTTATATAATTATAAAATATTTTGACAGATACTTACCAGCGAATATGTATTATTTTATAGAATATAATTATATATTTTTATGGTTTATAATTTTTATGTAGCCTCACATTAACTGAATAATTATCTCAAAAGTCAAAACATAGCTATTATAAGCATACTCTTTAATATATATGTTTGTATTTACTATGGTGTGATCTGTAATACTCATAAAATATTTTGATAGTTATATACTGATTGAATAAAACCCATTAAAGGCCCCTTCATATTTCATATTTGTTTTGATAGATGATTGGTGATCACGCATGGTTGGCAACCATATCTCGGTCCCTGTCTCCCTCTGACACCATTACAGACACAAGCGGGCTGGAGATAAGTCCTGTATCGCCTGACCAGGATATAACTGTCAATACACCTGTAAGCTTGCACCAGCCAGTGACTGCAGTTATGATAGGAGGACCGAGCATGGTGGAGGAAAGGTGTATGTAATATTGAACTCACACTGCCTTTAGATATGGAGCATTTGTGAAGGAAATCTAGGTGTTCTTTGTGTCTTCGGTGGAAGGACTAGTATTTCAAAGAGAGAGAGAGAAGGTTTTTAACTTTGGGAAGATGGAGTGGTCGGGAGATGCAGATTTGAATTTGGGTTCAATTCCGAGTGATGTTGGATCTGGAAAGGTTGTCAGTGACGTAGGATGTGATCTAAACCAAAATGAGGAACGTTGTGATGGTGAAAAGAAAACTTGTCCGGAGGAAGACATGTCGTCCAGTGTTGATATTGAGGTCATTAACAAGAAAGATGACATTAACCCTAGTCATAAAGAGGATGAAGTTAGTTCCGGAGCATCTGTGAATGGAAACGGCAATCTTTCGAGGAATGAAGGCATGGACGTTGTCGCCAACGTCGTTTCAATACCAGAGCAACACTGTGAACAAAATGACGCGAAACACGATGTAGAGGTGGATGCCAAACCTGAGTTGACGGAAGCCCCACTTGAGACCAACAACGACACCGAGAAACAATGTGATCAAGATATTAACGGGAATTCAGCCACAGAACAAGACAATAACCTCTCTCTCAACGCAGCTCCAACATCTCTCGCTAAACAAGAATCTAACGGCGTTAAGAAAACCCCAATCAAGAGAACTGCCTCTATACCTACAAAGCTCCCTCTCTCTCGCAATAGCTCCCGAACGTCAAGCGGTAACTCTTCCCCAGCGAGCCCTGGTGCAAAACCTCTGTCCAAGAATACCAAAGGGAAACAGGAATCTTTGCTCAATGGGAATAAATCGACTGACGCTTCAACGTCAGACAAAGCGAACGGCAATGCTTCACCAGACACCAGCAAACGTGTTCTCAAAAGAAAACCGTCGAAGTCGAAACTGCCTGTAAGCAGTGGAACGCCATCTGATGTACCAAACACGTCTCCGTTCACAACACAACCCCCTGTACCCGGGAAACAAGCGCCACTTGAGAAATGTCCACCATCACCTGTAGATGTTAACTCAGGTCCGATCCGGAAAAAGTCAACATCCAAGCTTCCTATCGCAGAATCCCCTCAACCAGCCCCTCCTGCTACATCCACACCGGACCCAAAGGGGGGTCCAAGTGCTCCTTCAGCACCAGACATACCCCCCATCACTCCCAAGAACGTTACCCAGGCACCGAAGAACGCCATGACCCCAAGAAGGATCATTGAGGAAAACGAGGCTTGGAAGGAACAAGTCAAACAGGTAGGTGTTTAACGTTACTTTCATATATATATATATATATAATGTATAAATCCACATACACTAGAACCAGATGCACATGTCGATTTTGAACGTTTACATTTTTACGTATACCGCACTGCACAAACTCCTGTTCGTATGAATTAATGACATGCAGATGTTGTATCGGCATACAAAGAAACATCATATACGCAGTTGCTTTGACAAACGTTTTGGAATATGACATCATAGCTCAAAGAGAATTAGTCGGGCCAACATTGTTTTGATTTAAGGACTTATTGTATGATAGTAATGCCCTTGAGCTTTTTAAACCCGTGAAGATCCTGGCTAGAATTTGTCTTCAGCAACCAATGCTTAGCGTAAGAGGCGACTAAGGGGATCGGGTGGTCAGACTCGCTGACTTGGTTGACGCATGTTATCGCATCCCAATTGCGAAGATCGATGTTCATGATGTCAATCACAGCATTGTCTGGTCCAGAATCAGTTACTTACAGACCGCCTTCATATAGCTGGGAAATTGCCAAATGCGGCGTTAAACACCAAATAAACAAACAAATTTGTGTTTTTGTAAAGATTCTACAAACAGTTACTTGGGATGAGGGAAGTGAAACAATTCTTCAAATTCAGTAGATAGTACGCGTAAAATATTTGTCAGAATGAGCGACCACCAGGGAACATACGTCCAGTGCCGTAACAATACGTTTGTTCAGTGCTCACACTATCAACCACTGGTTTGCTTACATGCACAACTTGTTTTACAGACCGCCACAACATAGCTTTAATCTGTCTAAAACTGCTATGTAAAACCCTTGAATACTTGTGTGTGTCGACAGGGACAGAGTTTGTCACAAGAAGAACTAGAGATAAAGCTACAATATTTTCAAAGTGTAGCTCAGTTACCTCAACACTTATCCTTGATATATTGAATTTTTAATCCAAACGCGAGCAACAACTATATAACTGTATACACCATCATGTCCAAATAGCTACAGGCAAAGATTAAGATTAAAGTAGCTCTACATGTGGCCTTAAACTTATTCTTTCTGTTAGAGATCAGATTTTAATGAGATTTGAAACCTCAAATTCATCAATCAGAATGGATCGTTTTTCCACATTCTTATCGAACACAGTGCTGGGTGTTTGAACCAGAAAGCGTCCTGGTTCACGATCCGTGTTCATGAACTACGATTAAGTGCATCGTGCAGCTCAGTGCGAGATGTGACTGCTATTGTTAACATATCCCTATCACGAAGCTCCACTGATGGTACAAACACAGTTAATGTAAGAATAACTGTGCGTACCACGAATACATTAGATAACAGTATGTGATAATGGCACATGTACAGGCGGCAGGGTGCACACTACTGGTGATAACCTGAAACCCAGGTAGAGTTTGGCCCTCTCCATCACCTCGTCATGACACCTGTGTCTACTAATAACAATCACAGACTTATCTGAAGTATTTATACACTACACTGTGTATATAACAAACAACCTTATAACTACTGACTGACTGACTAAATTTGGTTTTACGCCGCTTTTACCAATATTCCGGCAACATCACGGCGGGGGACACCAGAAATGGGCTTCACCGTGGTATTTTTCTGTGGGGATTCGAACCCGGGTCTTCGGCGTGACGAGCCAACGCTTTAACCACTAGGCTACCCCACCGCCCCACCTTATAACTAACGGACGGATATTACAAACTGTTTATGTGGTCACGGACACTTGCTTTATATTTTAGTCTAACGCATGCAACAAAGTACGGTTATAACGAACACCAGTTCGGTATAACCGTAGTTTAATGTTTACATTTTCAGTATGAGGGTCAGGTATATTAGGCTGATATTACGGAGAGGGACAATAAGACCCACGTCATACTGATGTAACAATACTTGTCGGTTTGAAAGTGAAAGTGTTGTCACTTTACATATAAAGCAAGTGTCCGTCTTTTACTTATGAGCCCATTTCCTGTGTTCCCCGCCGTGATATGGCTGGAATATTGCTAAAAGCGGCGTAAAACTAAACTCACTCACTTTTACTCATGACATCAGGTGTTACATGACAACTGAAATGAAACTTGCATGACAAGCCGATTCTTTCAGATTACTGTAGTTGATTTGTTCATCACAGACAAAATACTGTGACTATGTGTCCCAGTTCACCCAGCTGCAAATGGGTACCTTGTGCGGATGAGGATGTGTGATAACTCGCTGCGCCTAACAGGCTGCATGAGTTGAATACTCCCCAGGGAGCTGAGTTGGTTAAAACAATGCCAGACAAAAAAGACATCCGTTAATCAAGGGAACACTCCAGCGCCTTGAGCATGTATTAGTTGCATGGATATGCGCTACTTAAATATCCTATAATAAATGATAATTATAATAAGAATCGATTGAATATAGTAATATAACAAAAAATCGTGTGATCCGTAACATATGTTAGTAGTATATGTATCGCTGTATTGACCCGGAGCAGAGGTCATTAATAATGATCCCTACTTAAGAAGTGATTTAACATTGCCCTAGATATATAATCAATCCCGGAGCGATCATGTCTATTTTCTCTTAAGCAACTATGTTCTACCGCATTTTTTACATCGTGCTGGTTACAATTTTTTGCTTTTGAATATTGATGACTATCTTTGTACAAACATTTGACCTGTACGTCTTTGGCGTGTTTGTATTATATTCGTGGATTTTATTTTGATAAAGCGGTCATATTTATTACATTTGGTTTTCATGTTCATTGTACACGTGGCGTCATGAAACAGTTAACACGCCTTCCATATGTGATCTAATAGCTTTACAACGTCATTATGATAAATTGTGACTGATGTTTATGATCATACACGCCAAGCATAAATTAAGTAACCCAAATGACGTCACAGTTGCGCATTCCGCCTGGGGTCCTGCACTGGAAGACCCCTGGCGATAGGTTATCTCCCGTAGGTGAAGGCAATGTGTGAGACCTCATGGTATCTATGCATTATCTAGGTCAAGTCTTGGCACAGATTGTGACCAGGATTTGTCGGTGGTTTGTAAATAGCTCAGTACCAAATGTGACCAGGATTTGTCGGTGGTTTGCAAATAGCGGAGCACAGTACAGATCGTGACCAAGATTTATCAGTGGTTTGTAAATAGCGCAGTATCGATTGTGACCAGGATTTGTCGGTGGTTTGTAAATAACGCAGTATCAATTGTGACCAGGATTTGTCGGTGGTTTGTAAATAGCACAGTATCGATTGTGACCAGGATTTGTCGGTGGATTTGTAAATAGCGCAGTATCAATTGTGACCAGGATTTGTCGGTGGTTTGTAAATAGCGCAGTATCAATTGTGACCAGGATTTGTCGGTGGTTTGTAAATAGCGCAGTATCAATTGTGACCAGGATTTGTCGGTGGTTTGTAAATAACGCAGTATCAATTGTGACCAGGATTTGTCGGTGGTTTGTAAATAGCACAGTATCGATTGTGACCAGGATTTGTCGGTGGTTTGTAAATAGCACAGTATCAATTGTGACCAGGATTTGTCGGTGGTTTGTAAATAGCACAGGATCAATTGTGACCAGGATTTGTCAGTAGCTTGTAAATAGCACAGTATCAATTGTGACCAGGATTTGTCGGTGGTTTGTAAATAGCTCAGTATCGATTGTGACCAGGATTTGTTGGTGATTTGTAAATAGCCACGTTTACATTCTTTGTCATTTGCTTTGCACGAGCACAGGTGGCACAGTCGTGTGTAGAGGTGCGGTTTTGGTGTGCCAGGCACCATTGATGATATTGATAGTGAGTTCGAATCCCAGGCTCGCCAGGGTTATGTTTCTACATTTGTCAGCGTAGTATCTGCGCTCCTCAGCTTCACCTGCAAAACCAAGCGGACACGCTGTGATAAAACTGTAATACCGTCACACCAGAAGCCGGCTTTAGACCATACTCATCACCCCTTAGACTAACGCTTAGTCTCTGAATATATACAGTTTTGATACTAACAAACAAGCTCATTTTAATTGAAAAGGAGCCCCAGGGAGACAAGATATTCCCTGAACCTGAGGAAATCTAGACTTGCTTTATTTAGGGCTTTAGCACTGCAGATAGGCCTTAGCAGTTGGGAAAAGAAAAAGTGGTTCAGGGACTGTAAGACAGACCCCCTGACCCGTGAAGATCCGGGTTAGAATTGATCTTCAGTAACCCATGCTTGTCGTAAGAGGGGACTAACGGGATCGGGTGGTCAGGCTCGCTGACTTGGTTGACACATGTCATCGGTTCCCAAATGCGTAGATCGATGCGCATGCTGTTGATCACTGGACTGTCTGGTCCAGACTCGATTAATTACAGACCGCCACCAAATAGCTGGAATATTGCTGAGTGCGGCATTAAACAACCAACCAACCATCCCAACTTTCTCTCAAATTATCAAACTGAGTCGATTGATTTGTGGGGTTGGGTGATTATTTGGAGTCAAACCTGTCTCATCGCTGAACGTTTTTTTTTCAAATTGGTCAGTAGGCCGATATCAGCCCCTTTTTACATATCGATTAAAACATATTTGAAATTCTATATGTGTTTCCTAGTTCCATGCGTGTTGAATAAAACCTTACGAAAATATACCTCTATGTCATAATGTGTCTACATAATGGAAGCAGCGTTTTTATATGAATGTGTCTGTTTCCTCTGTTTGTTCGGCTGTTAAAGATAGTACGGGATTATTTCCATCGATCTAAATGCAGTGTGGACTGCTCTAGTCTACATTGAAAGATACAAGCCTTGTGTGTCAGCCTGAAGTCCGCCTTTAAGAACCTAGCATAACACGCGACATATGCCCAATCACTGCCCATCCTTTTACAAATATCACATGTTAAATCTGAATTGTAATGATAATACCTTGGTAGTGCAATATTCCGGGTAATAAAAGTGAACGAAATCAGATTTAAATGAATCCGAATATTATCGTCTGGGGGTGAAATCTCCACACAGCGGCCCTCGAGCAATCATATCAGCGACT